CATTTTAACTTCCTACCTGGTTAAGTTTGTGTTCGCTCCTGTGGGCACAGATTTGGCTTGGTAGGGTTTTTTCCTTTTGTCTCCCTGCAGGGCCGATGGAGGAAGTGGAGCGACTGCTGGAGCGGATCCGGTCGGCGGCGAGGCACCAGGGGGCTGACTGGCTGAAGGCCCAGTTAGGCCCGGCCCTGGCGGCGGCGGAGGGCCAGGACGGCGGCGGACGACGGCCTGTTCGGGCCAGGAGGCCTCCGGAGCGGCTAAGCCCGGGTGTGGGACCCGGTGAAGACATCCCTGGTGGTCCGGGAGGCTCCGGTGCGGGCGGCAGCAGGCCCGGCAGCCGCGTGGTAGAGGCCCCGCCTCCCCGCGAGCGGCCGGAGCCTAGGACCAGTGCCCGGCGCCGGGGGGACGGTCGGGACGGGGCCGTCGCGGCTGCCGGGTCGGACGTGGCCGGGCGGTCCCCTGGAGGAGCGGGCAGCATGGAGCTGCGGCCCGGGAGGGCGCGCGCCCCGTCGGAGGCGGAGATCGGCGGGGCCGGGACCGGGAGGACACGTGGCCGGTTCCCGGCCCCAAAGGCAAGTGCAGGGGGCTCCGGCCGGGGCCCTCTTGGAGGAAAAAGTGCTGGGGGGGTCCTGTCAGGGGGCGGAGGGCGGAGGGCCCAAGTGGGGGTTGGGAAGGCCTCCCAGGGACCGCGGGTGGTGGATGGGGAGGGCATAGGGGTCATAGGTGGGGGGAGTAGTGGTAGGGGTGGGGGGGCTGTGGGTGAGGAGGGACTGCTGGGCTCCCCTGGTAGGGGAAAGGGGGCCTCCTTGGGCTCTGGGGCTAGGCCGGTGCGGGTAGGGTCGGGTAGGCCTGGTTTAGGGGTTGGGGGGGCCAGTCTGGTTGAGGGGGGTCTAGGTCCCCTTAGTCTGGGAGCCAGTTCAGGTGGGGGGTCGGGCTCTAGCCGGAGGGGTGAGCGTTTGGGGGTGCAGGGTAGTAGGGGGGGGGGTCCGGTTCAGGGTCCTATAGTGGTAGTCCCTCTCCGGTTCGGGAAGTAGAGCCACGGGGAGGAGGGGGAGGAGGGGGAGGTCCCGGCAGCGCCGCTCCAGGTCAGGGAGCTCGGGAGAGAGCGGGTCTAGCGTTCCCAGGGGTGGTCGGCGGGGACGTATGCCCGGGGAAGACAGGAGGAGCCGTAGCCCTAGGGGCTCCCGCGCGCGGCGCGTGCAGGGGGCACAGCGGGAGGCTTTGGCAAGGGGCAGGCGCTCCCAGGGTCGAGACGGGGGGGATGCGAATACTCAGTGCACCCTACCCAGGACTTCTTCTACTATTTCCAGGTCACGGAGCTGTTCCATATCGACACGGGCAAGGCACCGGTTTGGCTCCCCGGTTGGCGAGGTATCGGCGGGAGTCGCTCTCCCTGGACATCGGGCAGTCGACGACGCAGCCCCTGCCGCGTCAGTTGCAGGGGGCTTGGCCGGTGAGTCTTGTGGGTCACTACACTCCAGTTCCTTGGTTAGCACACTGCAAGCACTGCTCCACTCGCTGGGGGCGGGGGGTGACACGGGGGGTGGCGTTGGTCGGGTTTGGGCCCCGGGGACGGAGGTCCCTGGTCCTAGTGGGGTTTCCGTGGGGCTTAGTTCGGGCGGGGACGTGGGGGTGGCGCCCGAGGCGATGGCGGCCGGGGGTGACAAGGCGGAACTGGCCGGGGGTATTCCGGATGCAGCGAGGCAGCACGCATACGTCTCGTTTGCGGGCCCCCTGGGGGTTCATCTGAAACAGGACGTGAAAGAGAAGCTCTGGAAAGGTGAGTTCTGCGAGATCTTCTCCCTGCTCCCCTTGGAGGACTTTATTGACCTCAAGGAGGAGGATAAAAAGGATGAAAAGAAGGAGGAGGAGGAGAAGAGGAAGCGGTATCGCAAGATTCCGAAATCCTTTGGCAACTGGTTACGGGCGTTTTGCGTGCTAGCCAGCGTGCTGGGGGAAAAATCGCCGGGATTATGCTCGTCCCTGTTCTGCTACCTGGACGGCATTTGGGAAGCATATCGCACCTATGGGGGGCTGGCATGGTGGCGCTACGATGAACAGTTCAGGCAGCGACTGGCGGCTAACCCGGGGATGAGGTGGGATCAGATGGATCTGCCCCTCTGGATGAAGCTAATGATGGCCCAGAAGGCGCAGCCCTTTCCAAACTCGGCCGGCGCGAAGGGGCAGTCCGCCTCGTCGGCCGCTTTGCAAAAGGGCTTCTGCTGGCTCTACAATGAGGGCCAGTGCAAATGGGGAAACGCGTGTCGATTTAAGCATGAGTGCTCCGGTTGCGGGGGTGCTCATGGGCTCAATCGCTGTTTCAAAAAAGGGAAGGCGGGAACAGCCGGAGCGGCTGCCGGGGCCGGAGGGAATGCTTCCCCTGCCCCGGGGCTTCACGCCGGTGAGGCTAGACGCGATGGAGCCGTGGCTAAGCCGCTACGGTAACAGGACTGATGCCTCGGTACTTAGGGAAGGCTTCGGGCGGGGTTTCTTTATTCCCTTCCGGGAGCGGGGGGGTTCGGGGGGGTTGCGCAACCTGAAGTCGGTGGCGGATTTCCCGGGGGTGGTACGGGAGAAACTAGACAAGGAGGTTGCGCTGGGGCGGATGGCGGGCCCGTTTGCGGTGCCCCCATTGGAGGACCTACGGGTTTCCCCTCTTGGGGTGGTGCCAAAGAAGGAGCCGGGGAAATTCCGACTCATTCACCACCTCTCCTACCCAAAAGGGGAGTCGGTGAATGACGGTATTGATAAGGACCTATGCTCGGTCTCGTATGCATCATTCGACTGGGCGGTCGAGCTGGTTAAACGGGCCGGGCATGGGGCACTTATGGCAAAAGTGGATATTGAGGCGGCGTTTCGGCTGCTGCCAGTCCACCCGGACTGCCACCACCTGTTGGGATGTTTTTTCGAGGGAAAATATTTCGTGGACTTGTGCCTCCCTATGGGCTGTTCTATTTCATGCTCCTATTTCGAGAAATTTAGTACTTTTCTCGAATGGGTAGTGCGGGTCGAGGCGGGGAACCGTTCGGTGGTGCACTACCTGGACGATTTCTTTTGCGTGGGGCCGGCTGCCTCCTCGGCATGCCAGCAACTGCTTAGGACCGTGGAATGGGTGGCGGGCCACTTTGGGGTGCCGCTGGCAGCGGATAAGACGGAGGGCCCGACGACGTGCCTTAGTTTCTTGGGGTTAGAAATAGATTCTATCTTGGGTGAATGCCGACTGCCTCGGGACAAGTTGGAGGGGCTCAAGGGGGCGGTAGCTGCGGTGACCGTTGCGCGCAAAGTTACGCTGCGGCAACTGCAGTCGCTAATAGGGATGCTGAACTTTGCATGCCGTGTAATTCCTATGGGGAGGGTTTTCAGCCGCAGCCTGGCGGCTGCTACGGCAGGAGTTCGATCCCCGCATCATTTCATACGGGTGTCAGCAACCATGAGGGCTGATTTGGGCGTGTGGGATGCCTTCCTGCAGGATTTCAACGGGACGGTGTTTTTCCGGCGGGCGGGTAAGTCGGCGGCGGAGCTGGAGCTCTTCACGGATGCTTCGGGTAGTGTGGGCTTCGGGGCCTACTTTGGCGGGAGATGGTGCGCGGAGCGGTGGCCGGAGGCATGGGGGTCCAGCCCAGTCATGCGCAACCTGGCTTTTCTGGAATTATTCCCGTTGGTCGTTGCAATGGCACTATGGGGCGAGGGGCTCCGGGACAGAAAGTGGTCTTTTTCTCGGACAACATGGCGGTGGTGCATGCGGTGAATAATCAATCGGCTGCCTCTAAGCCGGTGGTTAGGTTGCTGCGGCGCTTTGTGTTGATGTGTATGTCACGGAATGTTGTGTTTCGCGCGCGTCATGTCCCTGGGTACCTGAATGAGGTGGCTGACGCTCTGTCTCGTTTTCAGTGGTCCCGATTTTGGCCGATGGCGCCAGGAGCATTGAAGGAAGGGGAGGCTTGCCCGGACGAGATATGGCAGCTGGGAGCGTCCTGCTTGGGGGACTTGTGAAGGCTTCACTGGCACCGGCCACATGGGCCTCCTACAGTAAGGTCTGGGACTCTTGGGAACGATCATTAGACGGGTGGGAGCATGGCTTACGTGGGGATGCGCTGCGGGACGCTTTTCTATGGTACACCTGCCAATTGCTGGCAAAGGGGGCGTCCCCGGCAGTGGTCGACAGGTCCATGGCGGCAATGGCGTTCTGGTTCCGATGGCGCGGGTCGGAGGATCTGACTAAGACCTTCCTAGTACGACAGGCGCTGAAGGGTTATCGAAAGGGCCGCAGGACCTGTGACTCTAGGCGCCCGGTGTCGGTACGGGTATTGGGGGATCTGGTGGGTCGGTTGCCGGAAATTTGTTTCAACGGGTTTGAGGTCTCTCTGTTCAGAGCGGCTTTTCTCTTGGCATTTTCGGGGCGTTCCGCGTGGGGGAGCTGGTGAGTGCCAGTAGGGTGGTGCCCGGGGGTCTGCAGGCCTCAGGGGTTCGTGTTTTGGAGGGTAAGGTGGTTGTGCATCTGGGTAGTTCTAAGACGGACGTCCGTGGCGTGGGTAGGGACGTTACGCTATGGGCTCTGCCGGGTGCAGCATTGTGCCCGGTGGCTGCAGTGGCGGAGTACATGGCTCGGAGGCCGGCGGTAGGGGGTTCCTTCTTGGTACATGCGGATGGTTCTTCCCTGTCCCGGTTTCAGTTTACAAAGGTTTTTCGGGCTGGGCTAGGTAAGTTGGGGCTTCCGGCCGGACGTTTTGGTACTCACTCCTTTCGCATTGGGGCGGCCACGGAGGCCGCACGGTTGGGATTAGGAGATGAGGTCGTGAAGCGCATAGGGAGATGGGAGTCGGTGCGGTTCCGCTCATATGTGCGGTTGGGCTTATTGGAATAAAAAAAAAAAAAAAAAAGGTACATGTCTGGGTATGTATATGTTTATATATATGTATATGTATAGATATGGTGCGGGGGCGGACATGGACGGAGGAGTCCTCTTTGCCTTTCCCTCATGCTTGTTTTCTTCTTCTCCCCAGGACGGGTTGCTTGGATTGTGGGACATTCTTTTGTCTTCTGGGCCGAGAGGAGGGCCGCAGCTCGAATGCAGGGCCAGCAGCTGGGCTTTCCGAAGGACCAGTTGACAGTCCGATGGTTTGGGTACAGGGGATTTTTGCTGGGGGGAGGTTTGTGGGGCAATGTTTAGGATGGTGGTGGGCGGGAGGACACCGGACATGGTGGTCCTTCATGCTGGGGGTAACGACTTGGGCCTCACGCCACAACGTCGGTTGGTAAAGTGGATGAAGCAGGACATCAACAAATTCCGGGGGTTATGTTAGTGTGGTCGGAGATTGTCCCAAGGCGTCGATGGCGGCACGCGCGGGATCCGGTGGCGATTGATCACTGCAGGAAAAAGGTGAACAGCTTAATGGCGAGCTTTGTTAGGAAGATGGGAGGTGTGGTGGTACGGCACAGCGAGTTGGAGGAGGGGTTGCCGGGGTACTACCGCTCGGACAGGGTTCACCTTTCGGAGGTAGGTTGGGATCTGCTCAACTTGGGTTGGCAGGTTGGTATGCAGCGGGCGCTGTTTCTTCGGGGTGGCGGAGCTCAGACGGCTTAAGGGGTCAAGGTCTGAGCTTATGGCGGGACGGGGAGCTGAAGGAGAGGAAATAGGCTCCCCAGGATGAACGTAATGGAAGACAAACAAGTGGTGGTCATTGGTGGTTGATAGGTTTCGAGTCCTGTCGGTGGCTCAGAACCTGGTGGGGTAGGGGTATCCGGGTATACCCCTGCCGTGGTTAATGGATGGTTGGCACTTTACATCGATTGGAATAATGTTGATGTATGTTATATATATATGTTTATTTATATGGGGGTCATTGCCCTTTATATGTTAATGGAAGGAATAGGATGCGAGGGCGGAGTATGGGGGGCAATGACCCATGTTTACTTGTTAAGTTATTATTATTATTATTATGTTATTATTATTGTTTGCTTAATAAAGCTGTGGACAAATTTCCCCATATCCCTTAGTGTCCGTGCATTATTGGGTTAGGTTATGGGGTGGTTGTCCTGGATTCCGACTGCCCAAAATGGCGACTATACACCTGTCATGTAGCCCCATGTAGCCAAGCGCAGCTAAGCGGAAAAAGGCCTTGACAGGGGTTAGGAGGCGGGCCTAGGAGGAAGTAAGCAAGGGAGTGGAGTTATGGGTAAGTGGGTTTGGTTATTTAAATGGGCAGCCATTTTAGTTAATTCATTCTAACTTCCTACTTGGTTAAGTTTGTCCCACCCACCCTCCCTGTTTTGTTATGTGTGGTTTTTGTCCCGTTTTTTCACAGCGGCGGGACGGGGAGCTGAAGGAGAGGAAATAGGCTCCCCAGGATGAACGTAATGGAAAACAAACAAGTGGTGGTCATTGGTGGTTGATAGATTTCGAGTCCTGTCGGTGGCTCAGAACCTGGTGGGGTAGGGGTATCCGGGTATACCCCTGCCGTGGTTAATGGATGGTTGGCACTTTACATCGATTGGAATAATGTTGATGTATGTTATATATATATGTTTATTTATATGGGGGTCATTGCCCTTTATATGTTAATGGAAGGAATAGGATGCGAGGGCGGAGTATGGGGGGCAATGACCCATGTTTACTTGTTAAGTTATTATTATGATTATTATTGTTATTATTATTGTTTGCTAAATAAAGCTGTGGACATATTTCCCCATATCCTCTAGTATGTGCGTTATTGGGTTGGGTTATGGGGTGGTTGTCCTGGATTCCGACTGCCCAAAATGGCGACTATACACCTGTCATGTAGCCCCATGTAGCCAAGCGCAGCTAAGCGGAAAAAGGCCTTGACAGGGGTTAGGAGGCGGGCCTAGGAGGAAGTAAGCAAGGGAGTGGAGTTATGGGTAAGTGGGTTTGGTTATTTAAATGGGCAGCCATTTTAGTTAATTCATTTTAACTTCCTACCTGGTTAAGTTTGTCCCACCCACCCTCCCTGTTTTGTTATGTGTGGTTTTGTCCCGTTTTTTCACAGCGGCGGGACGGGGAGCTGAAGGAGAGGAAATAGGCTCCCCAGGATGAACGTAATGGAAGACAAACAAGTGGTGGTCATTGGTGGTTGATAGGTTTCGAGTCCTGTCGGTGGCTCAGAACCTGGTGGGGTAGGGGTATCCGGGTATACCCCTGCCGTGGTTAATGGATGGTTGGCACTTTACATCGATTGGAATAATGTTGATGTATGTTATATATATATGTTTATTTATATGGGGGTCATTGCCCTTTATATGTTAATGGAAGGAATAGGATGCGAGGGCGGAGTATGGGGGGCAATGACCCATGTTTACTTGTTAAGTTATTACTATTATTATTATTATTATTGTTATTATTATTGTTTGCTAAATAAAGCTGTGGACATATTTCCCCATATCCTCTAGTATGTGCATTATTGGGTTGGGTTATGGGGTGGTTGTCCTGGATTCCGACTGCCCAAAATGGCGACTATACACCTGTCAAGAGTACCTTGAAGTTGGCTGAAAAATAGCTCTGGCACACAACGTTATATCCTTCCCATTGTTTTTGCATGGGCTCCTCTGGACGGACCATGGGACATCTCATTGCATCCTTCCAGATAAAATATTTTATAAATAAATAAATCACACAAGGGATATGCATGCTTACACATATAATTGGTGGACAAATACTACAGATTTTTTAGTGTGGAAAAATATGGTTAGAATATTTTTTATATTTTCATATTTAGCAACTCTACAAATTCTGAAGAAATTGGGCAAAAATATAAAAAAAAAGTTCACGTCTTAATATTTCTAAGAAATGGCCAATTATTACAGACAATGCTGATAAAATATCTAATCACAGAGGAAAGGTGATACTAGCCCGAACCATTAGCGATAATTTACTTCTCTATAAATTCTTATACATCACATCACTTCACTTGGGAAAAATAAAGAAACGATGAGAAGATTTAATAAATGAATATGGTGTGTTTTCAGACACCAATGAAATATGACTTGTTTTCTGGGCCGCTGGCGCAAGTGACAAAAAGCTGTCTTGAAAAATGGCCTGCTTCCTTGTCTTCCAGAGGTTAATTATAAGGTAGAAATATGGCATTGCCTTGCGTCACAGAAATCTTTTTTCAGCGCCCCCATTGACCTCCACAGACGGATCCTATCCCTCCCCCCATTCCAATTCTGTGTGTTTTGGCAGTTTTCTATCAGTTGAAAGAGTCAACAAACTTCTCAGACGCTCCCCTCCGTCTGTTCTGAGCTGTTAACAGCCGCCGTCCTGTTAATCATGGTAGCCATGAGGACTCTCTGTATCAGAACTGGGCATCTTCGGAACCCACACATTGTCTTAAAATATTATCATAACATGCTGTGCATTATATAGACGATGACAATATTATGTGAATTAGATCATTCAATAAACTTACAGAGAATTGTTGGGAATTTCAATTTTAACCAAAATAACCAAATTGGAAAAATTATGCGAGTCGATTATTTGGGACTTAAATTATTATAAAATTCACTTTCCATTCTCAGCTTGATTTATAATATTCCCATAATCCTTTGTGCATGAGATAGATTGTGGTGATGTGACTATCATACATCTATCCAATACTTTTGTTCATAATATTCCCATAATTGCGTTAAAGAGACAGTGATGAAACTGTCTGTGTGACTCATGTGTCAATATAAAGCGCATTAAAGTGACAGTGACTAGGAATTCCTACGTGTTATATCCCAGGGTTTGGGGAATGGAACCTGCGTGTAACCCACAATGTTTCTTCATTAGCAAAGAGCTGCCTTTTGTCATGTTGTTTAGACGTCGTTTAATATGTCCATTTGTGTAGTGCAGCAAATGTTATTTTTTTAGCCATTAAAACTGGCCGAGTGTGACAGGTGTGCGAATGTATACACAGGTTATTCATTTGTTAACTAATTTCACCATTTGGGCAATTTGGATATTAATAAACACGCATTAAAGGAAGTATTTCAATAGACCAGAATAAATCCTAAAAACCTCTAGATTGTAAGCTCTTTCGGCAGGGTCCTCCTCAACTTATTGTTTCTGTAACATTTTGTAATTGTCTCATTTATTGTTTCATTTCCCCCTTAATAATATTGTAGAGCGCTATAGAATAGGTTGGCGCTATATAAATACCAATAATAATAATATGGTGTTTTATTACGTATGGATCTAATCAAGCAGATGTAAAATGACAATATTTAAAATAGTTTTAATAGTGCAGCATAATCTCATCTGATTAAAATATTTAAAGGGACACGTCAAGCAGGAGGTGACACATTTTAAATGCTTTATGTAGACAGTGCAGTGATATACAGATAGAAATTGTAAATACAAAAATTATTCTAATGTAACTCCCCAGAATGTGCTGCTTCAGTAACATACAGCCCAACATGGGGGTCACAAGAAGCAGGATGCTGGTGGGTGGGTTAAAAAAGGGGTGGGCCAGTGAGGCTAAAGAGGGCACAGCTGCCCAGAAAGGGCAGACCATGCAGGGAGTACTGTTTAAAGGTGCCCTGACTTTCCTGGTGTCTCCAATAGCATTCTAGGAGTGAGTATATCCCATAATGCCTTGCACAGTATTCATTTAAGGGCAACTGCTTCCACAACACTTAGCCAGCCATCCCTAAATCAGGAACATTTTCTGTCAAGTGACACAGGGAAATCAGACCTTATTTACAGAGTACTAGGACGTGATTTTGTTTAAACGGTGTCTCATTATCTTTCCAAATAATCCCTTTGTTGGTGGCCGCATCTTGGATTGAGATCCCTATAATTAGGGCAGGGAGAGAACCATTATGCAGTTGCCCCATAACTCAGAAAATCTAAACCAGCCTCAAAGTGACGGATTTCGTGGTGTGACTATGGCTGGGGATAGCTCTCCATATTCTACCACTTTTGTGTATATCCTGAGATATAAATGTAATTACTACCCAACTCAATTATACTCATTTTATTAATCTCAGAAGGGAGAAAAGATACGCAGACCCGGCCAAGAATACCACATGCAGCTATGAAGTTTGAACAGGGACTACTAACTGAAATATCTTAACAGTGGATCTAATTAATAAAGTTGTGCAGAGAGGGAAGGTTGAGTTGACAATGGTTGGAACAAGATGAGCGACCCTGACAAATGAACAAGTTGTTCCATTAACCACCTGATAAATCATTATATTTTTGGGATTAAAAATTCTCAGGGACCGAT